ATGGAGGCGAACAAAAACAGCCCTGCAAAAGGGAACCCCTAAAGAAACAGACTTCAATCCAAAAGAATAAAACCTAACTGATAATTACATAAGGTCTTAATGACCGATCCCCATAAAGAAGTATTAAACCTAATCAGGTACTCTTTTAAGGCGGGGCAAATACAGTGTGGCAGCCACATTGTGAAGTGCTCAATGTTCCTTTACATTCTGAAGGAGGTTTGGGCATTGCGTAAAATTAGGTAATTTAGCCCTTTTGGCCTAGTGGGGGTTGGGAGATTTCCCTTGGAAGACCATTCAACATCAACTAATTAAAAATCAAGGTTGGGCTGGATGGTCTCGGTTGGCTTACTTGTTCTTCACCATTCCTTTGTCCTAAATCTCCTTGGTTCCAAATCAAAAAATGTAGATCTTTAGTAGACCAGCTCTGCTATTTTAAGTTGGAAAATGGAAAAGAATTAAATTTAGGAAAGATTATTGGATTGGTTGGGTGTTTTAGAACTCTACTTGTTGCTAGGTCTTATGATCTCTCAAATATCCAATCTTTTTCAGTTCTAGAATCTAGATGTTTTGAGTTTTCAATTTTTGGGCTGGAACATTTTACCGAGACTTTCTTAAAGGTTGAAACTGAAAATGGACAAACTTTATAAATGAAATATCGTGTTTCATACCAAAAATGGATTAACTTTACCCTGATAATATAGAATTTGCTTCCAGATCAGATCGAAGATTCTAAAATGAATTTACGAGTAAATTAATGATTCAATGTAAGAATCTGTGTTTGACCTTTTATTCATTTATAAAGCTTCTTCATTGTAGGTTTAGGGTGCTAAACATAACCTAGGTTACTTCGTTGCATTTTTTCTTATGATCTCATGAGTTTAGAATAATCATGAATTTTCAAAAAGATCAAGACTATCCTAACCATGATTTAATGCTACAGTAAATTGTAGTCGGATAACTTATGCACTTGCTTCTGCAGGAAGGTGATGGATCCTTTGCTTCTTACTTTTCAAATTTAAAACATTTATTTTTGTTGATGGTGTCTGTTGCCATTGTTTAGGCTTTCCGAGCTTATCCTTGGCACTCTGTTGTCAGTGAGAAATGTTTAAATATGTGATCTTAATAGTTCATATGGAGGGTAATAGATCCTTTAGCTATTACACCTCAGATTAATTTATGATTTAAGTTACTGTGTGTACTGTGTAGCTATTGAAGGATGGATCATTCTGGTGACTGGTGTACATGAAGAGGCACAGGAGGATGATCTACAAAATGCATTTGGTGAGTTTGGGGAGATAAAGAATTTGCATCTAAATCTTGATCGTCGTACTGGGTTTGTCAAGGTATATTTGGTTACTATACTATATTATTTAATTTTTTTAATCCTAAGGAAACAAGAATTACATATTTTTATCTGTTTCCTATTAGAGAGAAGAAAAATATGCATATACTTGGTTGTTTTAAACTAAAAAAAGTAGAATAACTAGGAATTTTTTAGAGGAATCCAGATAGAAATTTAATGTTTTGCTAATGATTGATGGATGGTTCGTAAGAAGAAAGTAGTATTGTGGAATTTATTTTTATATTTGAAAACAATTTTTTATCTGCGCATTCTCCCTTTTTCTAGGCAACATTAGTTCCACTACCATTCTTGAAAGCACAATAAATTGTTTTAGTATTAAACAGGGTGTTACCAAGTAGTTCCTCACCCTTTCTGGTGTACCTTTCCCCCTTCCTTTCGTAATTATATTTCTTTGTTAAGTCTACCAATTGGGGTAATTCTTTTCAAGCTCTATTGGTCTTATCTGAATATCTTTCTTGGTTGTATTAAAGGTGTTCATTATGAAAATTAATCAATTAATTTGATAAAAAAGGGGAAATTAATTAATTAAAGGAGTACAAAAGGCCAACTTGAGCATAGCTCAAGTGGTTAAGTACCCTTTTCTCTGCAATTTAATATTAAAAAGATATAAAAATTAAAGGAGTACAAAAGGCCAGAGGCCCAGAGGTTGTTAAGGCTATGTCCTCCACATAAGATCCTGCAGTACAAAGGAAACCAGCTCCAATGCAATAAATAAATCAAAGAAGGGGTACCAAAAGGTTGGAGTATAAGGTGTCCTCCACCCAAGATTTTACAGGACAGTTAACCAGCTACGATGGAATAAAGAACATTAATGTGTTTCAAATTGGCAAACACAAGATGAAAAAGCAGTTCAACTCTACTCAAGCTTCTGGAAAATTTATTGAATATGTCACGAACTTACTTGAACAAGTTCTGTTAGGTTGTACTATGTCCTTGAATTCAAAGATTCTTTAATATGCCATAATTTCATTAATGAAAGCTTTGAAATGCACCATCCAAAGAGTGCTAGGAAATTTTTATGAATAGAATCCTGATAAAGTAATGCAAGTGCACCTTGAGAATAGATAAAATCCAACAAACTCCTGACCCCTTGAGGATCTTGAAAGAAAGAACCTAGTGACGTTCCTACGAAGAAACCATCATAGAGTCGACTTTCACATTCATAATTCATCTAAATGGAGATAAGCAATGGAGACACTTTTATTTATTTTTCTCAGGTAAAGTTACATATCGATTGCCAACATAGATTGCTCATTCTAGAGTCAAACATGTGGATTTTCTTCTCCATAATTTTTTTATAAGAACAATTTCATTAATGTATGTAATTACAAAAGAGGGAGAAAAATCTCAATCCAAGGGAGTTACGAGAAACTTCCCCGATTGGACAAAAGTGTAAAGTAGCTATAAACATGAAAAAGTGATGAGAATTTACACCCTGAAATAGCTAGATAAACAATAGATTCAAAAAGCCTACAAAAATTTGCTCTTTAGCACAAAAGACCCTTTGGTTTGTCTCGTTCCATGTAACCCAAAGACATGGGCTAATGAAGTGCATCCAAAGAAGCTGCTTCTCTTTGTTGAAAGAGGGTGGCCCTTGAGTGTGTAACAGAGAATATTCTTTGTATTGGTAGGCAATGGCTAATGAAGTGCATCCAAAAACAAAAGACCCTTTGGTTTGTCTCATTCCATGTAGCCCAAAGACATGGGCTAATGAAGTGCATCCAAAGAAGCTGCTTCTCTTTGTTGAAAGGGTGGCCCTTGAGTATGTAAGAGAGAATATTCTTTGTATTGGTAGGCAAGGCTATTGACCAACTGAATGTTGAAAGCAATTTCTCCCAAAATCTCATTGCATAGCTACTACTACAAGTGAGCAAAATGTGGCTTTGAGACTTTATATCCTTCTTATAACGGAAGCACCATTGAGGAAAGTCGACATGCATGGTAATCAATGGTGAAACCTGTCAAAAGTATTGATGGCTCGGTGACCCAACTCAAAAAGAGAGAATTTAATCTTTTTTGGGTATTGATCTCTCCATATGAACTCATATAAGAGGGAATATGGAATGTGTAGATTCACCTTTAGCTTCAATGTCTAGGAGTAAGGATTTGGTGGAAAAGGACGCTTTTCTATCCAGCTCTCAAATCCGTAACTCCCCTCAGATTCAGTCATGTGGATCAACTTTCACGATAAAGTTGACTGGAGGGTTTTAAGATTCACATGAGGAAGTCCACAGCTAGTGCCATCAACCTCGTTGATCATCTCTTCCACCATTTTTTCTAAAGATAAGAAACAGAGAATGACATTCAAAGGGGCCTTAGCCGACAAAAACAATCTGTAGAACATAGGGACAAATGTTCCTTTTCCAAAGGGAATGGATCAAACAAAAGCCCTCCAATCCTAGTTAGGTACAAAGGAACAGTTCTTTTGAGCACTCCAATCCAAGGCTGTTAATGGTACAACATCACAAAAAAGTTCCTCTGAAAAAGTCCTAGCATTTCTTTCCTTGCATAGGAGCCAAGAAAGAGCTGTAGAGGTATTGGACTAGAGGACTCTGCCTTTTCCTTTGTACCTCGAGGAGCCACTCTCCCACCATTTCTTTTAACAGGCTTTGTTTTATAAGTTAAATTGTTAACCCAACCAACCTGTATGCTCGGCTTTAGAGCCACTTTTCTTTGGTTCGTATGATATTTGTTTCCAATATTATATCTTGACTACTATTTGAGTTTCATTATATTCCATCTATTTTGTGGGGGTATCTTTACCTAACTCTCAGATATTTACCAATTTTCTGCTGTGGCAATGTGACGACATTTTATTTTGGTTTCATGAAGGGTTATGCATTGATCGAATACGAGAGCTTTGAGGAAGCAGAGAGAGCCATATCTGCCATGGATGGATCTGAACTTCTGACCCAAATTATCAATGTCGATTGGGCATTCAGCCATGGACCCATCAGAAGAAAGAACACAAGGTATGCTTCTCAAAGCTTGGGGATAACCAAAGGTTTGCATTATGGGAAATTCACGAACCATATTTTTCCTAACTTAATTGCAGACCTACTCGGGAACGACGTTCAAGGAGCCCGAGGAGGAGATATTGATTTTGAGGTGTAGAAGTCCTCCCATGTGTGTTGTCTTTGGATTTTATTTGGGAGCGTGTTTCCTTTTGGATTGGATTAGGAGATGTTTCTACTGAGCTTACTCAATTGTCGGACGTTGATTTGGATTGATGAATTGTATGTAACTTAGAGACCTGAGGTTTATGCTGTTCTTTCTTTTTCATTTTTGGATTTCTTGAGGTTTATGCCTTTTGTGTTGTCACCTGCTATTATTATATATATTTTTTTGTTCCAAATTTGGTTATCAATGGCGTGGCTTTTCTTTTGGATTTCGTCATTTTCCAATCATCACAGTAAAGCCCTCTTTTTTTTGTGTTTTTTGTTAGAAATTTTTAGGTCTAATATCAAATAACATTTGCATTATAAAGTAATGATGCAAAGATTTGTCATATGTCTCTTGTTTATTTTGGCTAGCTTATGCCATTCTTTAGTCCACTATTTTTCAATGACCTATTAATATCAAGTAAAACGATTATTGGGGTTTTATTTAGGAATGCTCTTGCTTCTTGCTTCTATTTCTATTATTTGTAATTTGTTTATGCTTTTTTAATAAATAGAAATAGAATTGCATATATTGAAAAATTAGATATTGTTTTCTAAAATCTTAAAATTAGGAAAAGTAAAAGGTAAGATTTTATTGAAAATTACTTTTTAAAAATTTTATCTTATATTTAGTTTTTTAAAGAAGGGAAGTAGAATTTCTATACAAATTTTAAAATGTTTCAAAAATAAGAAACTATAAACATCAATAGTTACTGCACATTTATGTTTCTAAAAATTTGATGAAAATTCCTCTAACATTTTTCTCTCGTTCAAGTTAATCTTATGTTAAATTACTTGTTTAATCCTCATACTCAACCAATAACATTACCTTTAAAGTTTGAAAATAAGTCAATGTGTTATAACACTTCAAATATCAACTGAAATTTTATTATTTCAAAGTCAAATTGACATGGTAAATCATTAATCAACTATTTACTTTTCAAAGTTAGTCAATATGATTTGTAACATTTCGATGATAACGAAAATCAATACATTAATTATTTATAATTTGTCACCAAACTTTGAAGAAATAATTTAGCATACATATTACTAACACAACACGACTACTACTTTCACGAAGTTAAATGCACCAATGAGAAACTAAAAAAGTATTTTACAATCATGCATCTAACGGTTATGAGAGTGACAGCCACATTTGTGACGCTCATATTAGACAATTATCTATTCTTTATTAGATACACGTAAATCAAACTATGTATCGTACTGGTTAGGAATTGATTAACTCAATTTAGGTAAGCCATTGATTGATTTTAACAAAAAAAATTGTTAAAAAGAATTGAAGGATTGAAATGAAGTGGAAATGGAGTTGAGTGGAGGGGAGGGTGTGAGAAGACAAAATTGTTGAAGATGTCTCAATAAAGCCAAACAGGGCCTCAAGCTTTCACCTGGTTTAAGGAAATGACAATCATAGCCCTGCCCACCCCCACCCCCACCCTTCCACCTGCCCCACTTCATTATGGATTTTTAATCTAATATATTTCTGGTTCGTCTCCGTACTATTTTGATATTTGTATTTTCAAAACGTCTATAGTTCTATTTCTTACTTTGTTTCAGTACCATTTTGATTTCTATATTTTTAAAATATCTATTTTAATTCATGCACATTTTAAAAGAGTGTATATTAAAATGTACATGAAAGTGTAAATACTCAAATGAACAAAATTTGGAAGTATATGGATCAAAATGAACTAAAACTAAAAGTACATGGATCAAAATAGTATTTAACCATCATTTATTTTTTCCGTTCATTGATTTGTATAATACCATTTTATGTTTTGGTCTTTGATCTTAATATAAATTGATGTGTTATGGTCCAGCATAGCCCTCACGGCTTTGCTTTTAGTTCCACCAAAAAGTCCTCCCACCAATGGAGATAATTGTTCTTCTTAGATCACTCATTTCCTTAACCTATATGGGACTAAACCCAACAATGTTAATAAAACAATAATTCTTGAAACATAAAATTTTTGTTTTCAAATTTTAACCATTCTTTTAATGGAAGAATTTTATTGAGAATTTTTAATATAGCAAGGATAAAATTGATAGTTATAAGAGATCAAGTACCAAATTATAGAATTTTTGTTAGGTAACTCAAAACTTTTTAAAATTCAGAGAGAATCATATATTGTATAAACATTAAATGCTATATATTTTCTCGAAAATATTTATTTATTTGTTTATTTTTAGTACAATAAGAAATAAGAATGAGGATTCAAACTCACGATATTTTTTAGTTGGAGATATATGTCTAGTTAAAAACAAAATTTTTAAAAAAATATTGTTTTCAAAAAGTTAAAAAAAAAGATTTTTTTAGGTCTTCTAAAAAATGTTTTACAAAACAAAATAACAAAAGGAAACTGGACTTTCGATGTTTAAATTTATTTCATACAGCAAAAAGAAAAAAAAAAACTAGTCAAGAAGCCATTTCTTTTATACAAAAAGTCTTTTAAAACACAATGTATATTACATAAACAAAATGTAAAGAATTAAAGAAATAACATAATAAAATCATAATAATACAGTCATAATATCTAATTTTTAAATCTATAAAAATAACAAAATACAAAGTTAAAAACAAGTCACAATATCTCACTTGTGGTGTATATATATATATATATATATATATATATATTATATAGTTTGTGCTATTTTCGTAATTGTGTTGGGAAGTGTTTACATATTAAAAAAAATATAACATTTTATTATATAAAACCATAATAAACATTGGTTTAAAAAAACTCTAGGAAAAAATAAAGCGGAATAATATAACATTTTCGATATCTCACATTTGCGAAATATTATTCTCATATGAGGTGAGACATATTTTCAATATCAAATATCAAACTTTATCTCTAGATTTAAAAATGATATGCATGCTCCCACACCCAAATAATATATTTGGCTAAAAATAAACTTGTTATCTTTTTACGTTTAATAGACTAACATAACATGTCATGTATATGACGTAATAGGCTTTAAATTACCATATCACATGTCAACTCAAATATACTTTAAACGTTAAAGTATTAATGCGTCATAACCAGACCAAAACTATAGACCGAATCTTCACCTCAATGTAATACGCTAAAAAAAACAAACTGCATTGGTTAAAAAATGGAAAAGAAAAAAATTCTCTTGGACCATCATTTCATATATATATATATATATATATATATATATAATT